TATCCTTGACTTTCGTGGGACCGGCCAGTCGGTAATAGCTTTGACCTTGTCTTCGGACATGCGTAAGCCTTCGGGTGAGAGAATGTAACCAAGATATTCGACGGAGTCCCGATGGAATTCACATTTGGAACCCTTGCAGTAGAGGCTGTTAGCCCTGAGTCTGCGAAGGACTTCGCGTACGTGTTTTCGGTGATCCTCGGGATTGTCGGAGTAGATAAGGATGTCATCAAGGTATACGACGACAGATACATCGAGCATATCGGAAAAGATGTCGTTGACGAAGCGCTGGAAAGCCGCGGGAGCGTTAGTGAGTCCAAATGGCATGACACGCCATTCAAAGGAGCCGTAGCGGGTCCGAAACGCGGTTTTCCATTCATCACCCTCGGCTATGCGGACGAGATGATAGGCATGACGAAGGTCTAGCTTGGTGTAGAGGCGAGCGGAACGCGCGGAATCGAGGAGGTCGGAAATGAGGGGCAAAGGGTAACGGTCTTTTTTAGAGATTTTATTAAGGCCACGATAATCTACACAGAGTCTAAGTTCACCGGTTTTCTTCTTGACAAACAGTACCTGGAGCTCCGTGCGGAGAGCGGGAAGGAGTGATGAAACCATTACGGACGTTATCGTCAATAAACTCGCGTAAGGCTTTTAGTTCGGATTCAGAAAGGGAATAGATGGGTCCGAGCGGAGGAGTGGAGCCTTCCTCAATATTGATCTTGAGGTCGTAAGGGCGATGCTCAGGGAGCTTTTCAGAAAGGGAATCACTGAATACATCAGCAAATTCATGGTACTCCGGCGGGACATCGGATAAGTCAGCGGGGGCCGCGGAGGTAGCTTTGCCACTAACATTAGGCATAGAAGGCTGCAATGTGAACTGCTGAGCTCCTTCTTCTGCACAGGCTCGGACAAAAGCGGCAGCCGAAATAATAGATATCTTGGGGGCGGCCGAAGCACTAAAGGAAGGAATGGTAGGGTAGGAATAGATAGGTTCATAAGGCGGCGGAGCCCAGTCGGGATCTCGATTTTGGGGTGGAAGATGATGATTGGGATGGTTGGATTGGACTGGAAGAGTCCGAGCGGACTGGCACATGTGTGTCGGCAGCCGCGGAAGCGCTTGATGAAGAAACAACCGATAATGGTGAACGGAAAGTGATACTGTGCTTTACCCAGTCAATCGACGGATTGTAGCGGGAGAGCCAGTTGTATCCCAGAACGACGTTACAGGATGAATCTAGACGAGTGACGTAGAAGTCAATGGGAAGGATGTCTCCGGAAGGGAAACGGATTGGAAGGGAAATGGATTGGGAGATGTGAGATCCGACGGAGCCGTCGAGAAGCCGAAGTTGGACAGGTGGGATAGATTTGGTAAGGAGATTGTGATCCTTAACATACTTCGAATCAACAAAGCAGTGGCTAGAGCCAGAATCAACGAGTGCAAGAAAACGAAGGATAGTAGAAATGGGTGAACCGTCGGACTCCGATCCGGAGCCGACTTCAGACGAGAGAGAGACAGTTAGGGAATGATTGGAAAGAGCGGCAGCGTTGAGGGTTACGATCTCCAGTGCACTGTGACAGTCAACGCAACCCTGTCCTAGTGCGGAGGATACAGGGTTGCTCTCTAGTTTTCCGATTCCGACGGAACCGTTTCAATAGAGGCAGTGGACTCGGGAGTAGGGGCAGGAGTAGCTGCAGCTGCACGACCCCGAGCGGAGGCCGCGGCTTTGCGCTTGTTGCAATCTTCGGTCTTGTGCTTACCTCCGCAGAACATGCAGAGGTTATTCTTCCGACGGCGGTCCTTTTCTTCTGAGTAAGACGGCCATCTTTGCCTAGCTTGTCAGCGTAGGGCTTAGGGTTGGAAGAGGAAGAGTTGTTGGGGGAAGACGAAGATGATCCCGTGGAGCCCGAATGAGAGGACTTTTGGCTCGCGGAGTTGGAGTTGGGAGATGAAGAGTTAGAACCCTTCGCCTTGTTGCTGTTGCTGGAAGAGGAAGATGGGTTACTGCGATTTTCTCGGGAGATTTCGGCTTTCCGAGTCCAGTAGCGAGCGTCGAGCTCTTGAGCGAGATTCCGCATATCACGGAGATTATCGGGTTTCCCGTGGTGGGCCATATCATCCTTGATGCGAGGAGCAAAGGCCACGGTAGAAGGCGTGACGAAGGGAGTTGTCACCGTAGCCAATAATGGCAGCATACTGATTGAATTTGACAATATACTTCATGATGCGGTCTCCGTCGCGCATCCGAAGATTTTCAAGCTCATCTTCGGCATCGCCGACAGCGTCGAAGGGGCCGAAGTTGGTGCGGAGTTCTGAAAGGAAAGCGGTATAGGAATATGCCCAAGCAGGGGGGTTGCGGTGATTAGGGTGGAGGATATCCGGTTCGAACCAGTCAAGGGCGACACCGGAAAGGAAGGAGATAGCGTAGTTGACTTTTGCCGTATCCGATCGGAAGGCGTCGGGACGGTCGTTGAAGTTCAACTGGAGAGAGACGATGAACGCCTTAAGTTTTCGGGAGTCTGAACCGTCAAAGGTATCTGGTTCCTTGACCTTGGTGCGTACCGCACGTTGTCGATTGCCATTGACAGCATCGGAGACGCCGCGGAGGACATTCATGAGTTGAATGAGGATCTGGGCGTCGTTATTGGGAGGATTAGGATTGTTACCAGGATTGTTGTTAGGTCCTCCTCCAGGACCGCCGGGACCACCAGGACCACCAGGGCCTCCGGGGCCACCAGGATTGGGTGGGCCACCGCCAGGATTTCCCTGATGGGTTTCCGCGGCCATTCATTGGCGTGTGAGGGGGGAATTCCCCGTCTTCCGAACCTTGGTCGTCGTCGTCATCGCGACCTGGGATGTCATCGAACAGAGAGGTAGTTGGGTTCCGCGGGGGGTCGCTTCGATACTCGCCCCAGCCATTGGATTCTGATCGCTGGGCTAGGAAGGGGTTAGGCGATCGGTTAGCATCGGATTGGCGAGCAGTGAAGCCACTGTGAAGGTAGGTTTCCCTACGGGATTGTTGGCGAGGGGCGGAATCCGATCCGAAGAGAAGGGGACCCTCTTTTGAAGCAGAGGCAGGGATATCGTCCATGGTGTAGGTTCGGTTGTTGACCGTGGAGTTGCGGCTGGTTTCTGGAGGAACAGTGAAAGTAGAAGACATGGTTAGGAAGAAATTTCGACTCAAGGGTTTGAGTTCGAATATACTGTTAGGATCGTGCCAATAGGATTGCGGCAGTAAGTGCACGTAGCGGAATGCCGCGGAATGCGTCGGGCGTAGGCGAAGCTATTAGCAACGTCACCCCTGAGCCGAAGCCCTAAGATAGATACGGACGGAAGTCCGCGGAGTGGCGGAGACGAGGTAAGAGATAAGTCCAACGGATCGGAGTTCCATGGACTGGAGAACGAGAGTTAGACTTAGAGTCAGAGAGAGAGAGATTGGGCTGAACCAAGTTGATATTCGAACTGAGTATCTACAGTGTAATTCTAAGGCTTATATACTAGTTAGGAGTCCGATCTAGTTCCTACTCGGAGTGGTCTACATTCTAGGGTTGTCGGAGGATGTATTCTATCGGTCGGTAGCCGATGGGGTCCGATGACATGTTCGCTACCGATGTCGGGCTATTGATAAATTGTAATGGAGAAGTGAAATATAAAAAGGAATATGAAATAGAATATGAAATAGAAACTGGGAATCGGAATCCGTAGGATTCCGGGCTGTGGTTTGTTGGATTGAGTGGAAGTCGGGTTTCCGTCGGCATGCTCGTTACATACCCTCCCGGTATCGGTGATGTCGACGGAAGCGTCAGACTCGGTGGCGCTTCTGTAGGAGTCGGTGCTCAACTCGGAGGATCCCGAGTTGGATCGCGACGATGTGTAGAGGGACTCTCCAGGTCCTCTGGGTGTGATGGGTCGGCCATCGTGAAGAGTTTGTTGTGAGGCGGCGGGAATGAAGATTATCGGCGGCGGGTAGGCCGGCGTTGCTGGCACGTAGTGGAACGGCAGCTGTGCTCGTACTCGCCTTTGTTGTCGGCAACACCGCTGAAGGTAGTACAAGCAGATGAACAAGAAAAAGACGGTAGAAAGCGCGGAGATTACGGGAATGGCGTCGGACAAGGGCATCCGTGTGCGGGCTTATTTTTGAGATAATCCGGCGGCCACGGTGGACCATAAGATGACCAAGGCGAGGATGGTTAGGGTGGCGAGGGTTGCGATAATTAGGTTGAGGTCGGCTTCGTAGTTGGAGCTGGTCATCAACGGTGTATCGTTGTCGAATGAAGGGTCAGTCAAGGCTAACAGTATGACTGCTAACAATGATGCTGACTTTAAGGCTAGAGGAAAGGGTTTTGTGGTGCCCTTTAGACAAGAGGGAAGTATCCACCGTACAGCGCTACTAGCAGTCCAGCTAGGAGTGGTGCGGCGATACAGACTCGAATGAGGGCGAGGGTAAGTAGAACAGTTATTAAAACTGCGAAGATCGGATCGTTGATGATGTGGGGAATAATCCAGGCGATGACGGCAGCTTGAAGCAGTAAGTCAAAGGGTGTAACCCAAAGGACTACTGCGACAAGAAAGTGTATCGGTTGAATTTTGGTAAGGTGCCTTTCCGTTGGTCCACCCGCAATACGCTAACAACCACGAGGTTGTCCTTTCGAACGTGCGGCGGTGACCTCTCTGGTCCAGCGATATGGAATCGATTCGTAAAAGAGTTGGGCAGCACTCTTTCTCGGAAGTGACGCTGAGCAACGTAGAGCGAGCTTCGGCTAAATGTTAGCCACTAACTCTTATCGACTTAGATCAACTCAAGATCGCCACTCGCACTTCGGTGGTCGATACAAGAGGGGTCAAAGTAGATGGGTGAGAGCCAGTCGCGAACTTAGATAGTCACGAAGAACGGAGTTCGATGTTAGGTAGAATAAACCTTAGCCAAAGCTGGGTTTTAGGCCAGCTGAGGCTCTACTTAAATACACGTTGAGTAGACTAAAAATAGTACTGTGAGAATGTCTGATCAGAACCGCAGCATGGAGTAAGCGTGAATGCGTAAGAAAAAGGAAAAGAAATGAATAACCGTAACAACATGCTTGTCAGTGAGGTAGAATATCTCTACTATGTAACCATTACTAAACCAAGTATCATGGTAAATAGGATGGCCAAGGAATAATTGGTTGCGGGGTTTGTCAACATCAGGAGTGGTGTCAGAGGCTCGGTTGGTTTTGTTGCCTTGTTGCAAGAGCACATACAGGTATTTGCAGAAGCTCCATCTCTCATGAACAGAGATGACGGAGATCTGCAAGGAGAGTTTTTTGAATGTGGGTAGTGGAAAAATAGTGTCCTGTTTATTAGATAAGGCAGGGGCATGAAGTTTGTCATCCCCTTCCATAGGATGCAGATAAATAGCATCAGACAATTTGTCCAATTCCATGTGGCTGAACTTGTAGGCCATAATGTCCTTCATTTGGATGTAAGTACCTTCATGATTTTATCTTTAGGCTTTCTTACCTCTATCGCAATGTATAGAATGCTATGGATGGTTTCTTCCTGTGGAGTGCAGCCTTGTCTCTTTGCTCTATCAGTGATAATCTCAGGAGGTATGGGTGTGCAGACAGTGGATGACACAGCCAACTCTGTTAATGATGGAGCAGGGGAGATAGTATAGTGATTATCCAGGAGTGGATGGTAGGGCTGGAGGTCAAGAATTCCTTGGGTGTTGTTCATAGTTGGGGAGTTTGGGAGCAGAAACGAGCAGTTGTGAAACTTTCTTGATAGTGTTGGAATTGTAGCTTCTTCTCCACTAATAAAAATTTTGGTTGGAAGCTTTGGTAGCAAGTAATGAGTGTATTGAGTGAATGTTCTTGGTCAGCAGAACTAGTCTGACCATTCCCATTCTGGGTCCTCTATTTCTTTATTCAGTCCATTATTTATGTATTGACTAGGATCTCATGCATGTTCCTCAGGCTCTTTCAAGATTTGGAACTCTGGACTGTCTCAGCTAATGTAGGAGTATAACCAAAAGGCTGCAACATTTTTCTGTAATGGTGTCACATCTAGTTCCTTCAGCTTGTAACTCCCACCTAGCATTTTGTGTTCTACTTCATAAGGGCCCAGATATCTTGGATGGGTTTTGAAATGGTTTACTGTCATTTCTAGTCTGCTGTTCTGAACAAGAACCAGCTCTCCAGGGTTATAGTCCTTCCTTAATAATTGATGTTCGAACCTGCAAATGAATTGTTCTCTATTTTGACATCTTGCTATTTTAAGCATTTCTGCAGCATGCTCTAGATCCTCCATATGTCTCAATAATTGCCATATCTGGAGCCAGGCAAGTTGGTCAGAAGTGTTCATGCCAGAATAATATCCTTCCACCATGAAGGTGCAAAAGGAAGTAATGGTTCCACTCCATGTAGAAGGAAATAAGGTGAATAACCGGTTACACTGCTGACAGTTACTTAGTTGGCAAAGACAGCAGCATCTATTAACTGGTGCCAGTTCTGGATTTGGCCATCCGACTTCCTTTTTGGACATGATTTGACTATTGCTTCATGCAAGATGAAATGTCTCTTTTCCACTACTCCTCCCACTCACTCATTATAAGGTGATACCCATACATGAGGTATGTTGAGTTTTTGGATCAGTCTTTTGAAAGCTCCTTTAACTTTGGGCCTGTTATCCATGACTACTTGTCTCATAGCTCCATAACGACAATAGATTTTCTGCCAAAAGAAATGTGCCAATGATTTAGAGTTATTTTCAATCAAGGTGCTGGCTTCTACCACCCCTGTTAGATCATCTTTTGCATAGATGATATATCAGTATTTCTTCACAGGTGGGCTCATGAACATTACGTCTATATAGACCTTTTCGAAGATGGTTACTGGTGCTGAAATGGTGGGGGGCAGAACTAGTCGTTTCATTTGTCTGGTTTGACACTCATGACAGGATGCCACATGTCGATGCACGTCCCTCCTCATTGAGGGCCAATATACTTGAATTCGAAGGATATCATAAACAGCTTGTTCTCCTTTATGGCCTAGTCAATCATGGGTTTCTTCCATTATCTGCATTCTCGTTTCTGGGTCGAGAATTACCAATAATGGTGCCTTTTTGCCATTTCTCTAGAACATGCAGCCATCAGAGGTCAGATAATAGAGTGATGCCCTTTCCAAACTTCTTTTTAAGAGCCTCGCTGGTTAGCTCTGGTACATCCTTAGTTTCATGCAGTTTTCGAATTTCTTTGAGCATTTCTTCCTGGATTTGAGTTCACTGTAATTGTCCTAGCAATACCTGTACTGGCTGGCTTTCCATTATTTGGTTGATATGGGTATCTATTTCTTTATACAGATTTGTCTGGGGTGAATAAGCTAACAGAGACATGTCATCCAGCCAGGAATTGTCATATTCTTCAGGAGAAGGTGGCTCATTCTCACCGAGTTCTCATCAAGACAAAGCATCAGGTCCTCAAAACTTGACCCCTGGAATGTGGATCAACATAAAATTGAATAATAGTATGCCTTGTATCCATTGATTCATTGCTGCATTAGGCTGCATGTCAGGTGCACATAGCATCTCTTTGATGTATTTAGCATCTACTTCAACATGAAAGTTCTCAAGACCAATAATGAATTTTCTCCAGGCTCATAATGCTCGAAATAATCTGTATAGCTCCAATTTTAGTTGTGAGTATCTAGCTTCATGTTCATTTAATGGGATAGAGCCATATCTTGCAGGTTGTCATTTTCCATCTTCATCTATCTGGGATAGTATAAATCCTATCACCTTTAAACTGGTATCCACTGATAGGTAAGTTGGTAGTCCTGACTTATAATCTATGGCTTGCAGAGCTGGGGCTGTAGTTATCTTGTGCTTGAGTGTCCCAAAGGCATCCTTTTGTGGTTTTCCCCATTCAAACTCAAAATCTTTTCGTACTAAGTCTACCAAAGATCAAGCTATCTTTGAGTAATCTTTTATCCGGATTCTGATGGTGCCACATAACCCTAGGAAGCCTCATACTTTGGTAACAGTTTTTAAGGGTGGCTATGTCAATATCTTGGATACATGGTTGTCTTCAGGATGGCAGCCTTCCACAGAGCATTTTTGACTCAATATTATCACACTGGGTCAACATATCTGAGTCTTTTTTGGGGAAAAGGTGCCTCTAGCACACTTTATTCTATGCATCACACAATGTACATCATTAGCATGTTCCCACATGAACCTTCTAATGCCTAAATTTCCATCTATAGTGCTTGGATGTCCTTTTTGGTTGAGGTATTGCATTCTGGGTCTGTGTATAGGTAGGTCATCGATGAATGTTAGCTACTTGTGGAATTTCATCCTGCAAAATGAATACCATGCAGTTTTGAAATTCAGCCAGGGAATTAGTATATCCCATGGACAAGGCTATAATCCATAGCAGTCCTAAGGGAGTGTAGAAAGCGGTGAGATCCTGTGATTCTGAGGCTACCTTTTGGACATCAAAACCCCAAAACATGTCAAACATGGTATAGCATTGACATCCATGATATGGTTCGATGAAATCGTCTGGTTCCAGGATTTGGCCAGTGTCTCAGACATCTTGTTTAATGGCTGTAAGCCATGTATCAACCTTAAAGTTTCATTTTTCTTAAAAATGTAGAACCAACAGCTATGATAGGATGACTGGCTTGCTTTGTACTCCTGCTTCCACTTTGCTTTTGAGGAAGGCTATGACCTTCTCTCTTATGCCTGGTGGGATAAGTATGTTTTTGTATTCCCAGAGCATGTGTGGTACAACCGGCATTATGTAGTCTGAAAAGCATTCTTGACTAAATGTTTCCCAATCTTTTTCTTCATAAGGCAAAGTTTGGTTGTTAAGTTTAAGAACATGTTTAAACAGTTTTTCTTCTGCCGGCCATAGGAAGTCGTTCTGGTTGACTTTGAGATCCTGTAGTCTTTCGTCTGTTAATTGTTCAGTAGGTACAAACTCAGGTGGTAACACAGGTAATTTGGTCAGGATGCTTAATGGATCTGAAGGGAGGGTTCAGCACACCCTAGCTTCTTCTGGAAACATGGTAGACACAGGCTTAACCTTTTTATCTACTCATTTGTATATGGTAAGGGCACATACTCAGGAGGCTTGTATTTCACTTCATAATGCCATGTAATCTTCTTCAGAAACTAAGATGATGTCTTCTTCTTCAAACGGATAGTCGTACAAAGAATAGATATGGTTTTCATCTTCCTGGGGTTTGGTATTCCAGTGCTCTCACCACCTGTCTTCACTCTCTTCTTCCAATAATCACCAATTGGCTTGATGATCGTGTGACTGACTGGTTTGATGCATAGGCAAAGTTATTCCCATATAAAAAGCTTGGTGTGGAGTTTTCATATTTTTCCTTAAGTTCCCAGTCTTACTTCCAGATTTTGTTACCAATGTTCTCAGGGAGAAGAAAAATTGACTGTTAAAGAGGCTATTGTCTGTAGTATATTTAAGTTCATCTTGGTACTGTAATGTCTGTTTGGAATGCATGTAATGTCTATCTGGATACTTTCCAGTGGTCATAGGTAATCAGTAGTGGTTAAACATCTGTGAAGAATGCATAATGAGTCTGTCTGAATCAAGGCCAGTAAACATAGGTAAAAGTCTGTTATAAAAAAAAGTCTGGGTAGAATGTGCATTTGATCTGTCCAGTTCAAGGTTAGTGGTCATAGATATGGTTCTCAAAAAATATTGTACATGTTTGAGCTTATATTGTGGTGTTGCGAAACTCATGGTATGTCAGGGTTGACTTCCTATTAGAAACATCATTAGTATATGGTTCACGGAGAATGATATTATCTGAACCTCACCATTACATTTCATCATCGTAGTAGTGTAGGTCATACTCATTCCTCCAAAAGGAATGGTGTTGTCCTTCATTGTTGTAGTAAAGGATGGACTCCACATACCCTTTCTCAAAGAGGCTGTGAATGTCATTGGGTAGAAATGACTGCCCTCCTCTAGCACGGCACACACAGTTGGCCAGCTCTCCTTGCCCTTCATGTTTGAACATGATAGCTGCATGGTAGAGAAATTCGTCTTCGTTAAGGGTGAGTAGTGGATTGCATGGCTTGATGATGTCCTGGAGAACTCCATTAATCATGGCAGCATGAATGCAGACTCTGTCAAAACCTTGCAAGTAGGCAGCATATCAGCTGTCAATATAGCAGAAAGCTTCATTGTGGTAATAAAAAAAATGCCTGGTGTCATCTTGACGTTCCAGGCAATCCACTGCTTCATGCTAATTTTTCATGAGGAATTGTTTCGCAATAAGTCCCAGGAATCCCACCTCATAGATTCGAGTATGATTGGTTACAATTTCCGGTTGGGTGCAATTTCCATATCCGCATCACCAATTGTCTACCTTCACTTCTAAATCTTGCATCAATTTGTAGATTTTTATGCCAATTTTTGTGATTTTGTATTCTTCAGACCCTTCAATCGACGAGTACTTTTCATGGGTGGAAGGGAGGAGGCCATTAAGTTCAGCGAGTAAAGGCGAGTTATCTCATGAGCTGAGATAATGATGGAATAGTTTGTAACAGAATAGGTGGTCATCTCGGTTAATAGGGATAGGATAGAGCAGACCATTCTCCAATGGCATAAACTCATAGGGTTGGCACCAGTAGTCATCATGACACTGCAGAATATAAGTGAGGGCGGAATTCTTTCTGTGGTCATCCAGTTCTATAGTGCAACAAGCATAATATTTGAGAGTGTATATCAAGTCAGAGAGATGATTGCAAGTTTCCTTGCTGATGTGCACAGGTTTCTCTCTGAAATAGGTAGCACGTAGGTTGGCTCATTTGATTTCATCCAGGCTCATGGGGGTATAGGCTTCTGAGCTGCTAGTGCTATAGCTGCATAGGAGACGAGTGGATGCATTGCTAGAAGCTCCTTCAATATTGCTCATGTCTGATGGGGAGGATACATAGGGGGCCTCCAGGCAGACTTGTGAATAGTGGAAGGCTTGGGAAACAGGAGGAGTCTTGGGAGAATATAAACTCTCGTCAGAAGCCAACTGCATGTCAAGCCATAAAATAGGTTGAGGCACAGAGGCTTTAACCTTGTTTACCATATTTTCATATTGGATATCTCATTCTTCTTCTTCCTCTGATTCCTCACAGATCTTGGCTTTACATTTAGCTGCCATTTCTTGTTGTTTGCGACTCCATTCTGGGATCTTGATCAGCATAGTATTACTTTCTTCATCCACAGTTGAAAGGAGTGAACAGTGTTCCAGCACAAATGTGGCTTTGAGTTGGGTAAAATAGGTGCATCTGGTGAAAAGGGGTGATTGTAATCAGCCAGAATGCAGTGATTTAATGGATGGGCACATGGCAGATTACAAGGTATAGGAGTGGATGGCCGATAAAATGAAGGGCATAGTTTTTCTTCAGTTCATTTGACATGGTCTAGGTCTGGTGTGAGAGCCATGTTGGCTTGACTAGGGGAGATCCACCTACCCATCAGCCTGGCTGATTGTGGAGACTGAGTTTCATTTCCCTTTATGGCTTCATCCTTTCCTGTCATCATAGGATACATTATAAGCTTTTGTTGTGACCAAAACATTTCCTCCTCCTCATCATCCAGACTACTGAAATCAATGAGTAGAGGAGGAGAATCAGAAAAAGGTGAGGTGTTAATGAATTCTTCATCCTCAATGTCTTCTAACATGAACAAAGATGCAGGGAAGTGAGGCATGTCATACATTGAGACCTGACTGAATTTGGCTGGAAAGGCTTTACAGAGAAAGATGGTGTCATGGATAGCCTGGAGAAATATGGGATGGTGCAGTAGCAATGTGCAACCTTTTTTGTTGGCAACACGATATAGGGTTCTGGCAGCATAATTGTACTGCATGGTCATAGGTCTTGTAAGGTCCCTAATTATTTGGCTGAGATGTCCTTTGTCGATTCGCATAGTGAGATTATAGTCCTCCAGAATCAGAAAGGCATGCTGGGCTTTGTCGTATTTTGTTTCAATGAGCTTAGCCATTATAGCCATGAACATTGGAGGTAGAAGAAAATATAATAGGCTGTTTTCTGGTTGAGCTTGGAATCCTGTAGGAGAAACAGGTTGATCAGACCCAGAGGTAATCCTGCATATGAGGGTACAGGCAATCCAACCTTGGGAATCCTCTTTCTCCGTTAGTTCTACATCCTTGATTATGCTATATGCTAGCATGGGTTGAATGCTTCTGACCATTGCGGGAGCAGAGGCCAGTGAGTTGAACTTGTAGGGATTGTTCCTCTCATGGCTTGGAATAATCGGAGCTTCAACAGAGTCTTCACTTGATTCACTGGTTGAGCTGATTGGCGTGGACATGTTGCTACCTAGTCTAGGACAAGGCATCCCAGCATGCATGGTTATCTCTTCTCCTAATCGTGCTGTGTGGAACTTAATATGTTGCTGTGAACTTAATTTTTTATGCTTATGCTCGTATTCTCCTGGGTAGAACATTATGGCTGCATATCCTACTGTAGACAAGATGGGAATGTCATCAGATCCTTGGAGTTCAGCCAACATGGTATTGAAAGCAAAGGTACATTGTAGTCTGTAGTCTGGAAACTCGTCTGTTTCGAGTTGGAGGGCATGGTTGGCAGTGAGGAGAATAGCATGGAATAAGTCTTGGTTAGTGATGTCGGGGTGAAACAGTGCGTTTTGCAGCTGCACTAGGTGGGTTTGGCAGGTCAAGTCAGTTACAGGAAAATATGCTGCTGATTTAGAGAGTGGAATAGATCAGGGTATATTGTTAGGTGGAATAATGGGAGAAGATTGTCGGCTGTCATTGTCAGTTATGTCTTGTAGGTGAAGGCAGATTTCTCAGTCTATGGTTTGTTGGAATAATGAAAATGACATAGTTGTTTGGTCTTGTTAAATTCAAAAGGGGTAGTGATCATGGTGTATTGGACTTTTCTCTCATACTACCAAGGCTTTATATATGCAATTTTGTTACCTTCTCAATCGGTACAAACTTCTGGTCATTTCTTGAAGTGAGTGGTATATTTCTGCTGATGAACAGTACCTCACTTTAACCTCATCTGTGTCAGGTTCTGTTTGCCAGATACTCCACATCAGCAGGATGTGTTTTGGGTATTCTAGTCTCTCACCTCACATCCTGTTGAACAGCATGACATGTCGATTATTGGCTGGATAAGCTTGGGACACTGTCAGGGGCATATTTTCCACTTGATTTGTGCAACTCATATGTTCCATTAGTACTTTTAACACCAAGATCTGGTGTTCTGTCTGTTGAATCCAGTATCATGCCATGCTGTTAACTTGTGTTTTCATCTTCTCTGTCATGGTGTTACGTTTCATAAGAGCACATCCATTAACTAGGGCTTCTGTGCCATGTTCAAGATGCTCTCATTGGTTCGCAAGATCTTTTGTGGGTACACCCTTTGATTGTACAGCTGTGTGAGGGGTTTGGAGTTTTTGTTCAAGTGGGTATGACTTGTTTCAAGCTTCTATCTGTGCTAGGCATGAAAGGTATGTGACTGGAGGTCCTAATTCGATAAATTTCTCTCCATTGTTGATTTTCCAGGCTCCTTCGAATACCATGTCTCTTGCACCAGCGAAATAGGCTATGGCAGTTTTTTTTAATCCAGCATCCCATTGTTCATCCACCACAAATAGCTCCATATAGTCTTTAGGCTGCTTAGGGTTCCCATATATGAGGTACGTTCCTTCTACTCGTTCATCCATTGAAACTAAGTTTCTGCATATCCACGGTTGACCCAAGAGTAGCTGGAAGATTACATTATAGTTACCCACAAAGAATACCACGTTTGTGACTATGTTAGCCTGCCTGAGGTATACATTATTAAACTGCCTGAGTAATGTCTCTTGGTTTCTATTGGCATCCAAACACTGGATTTCTTTCAAAGGCATAATGGGATATTGCTTGTTTAACTCGTGAGCCATATTCTAGCTAATAATATTAATTTCAGAGCCAGAATCCACAATGGCATTCACTATTAATTTCTTGTTGCTGACATCCAGGTCAACTTTGATTATTATTAAGGATGCTCAGATTATGGGTTCAGCCCATATTGGCTGCATGCATACCAAGTTTACTCAAGCCAGTTCATCTTTGAATGACTCCAGATAAGTGCTTTTGGCTAATTCTTAACTTTCAGCAGCTTTGAATGTCCTGTATTGTAATTTCTTAATGATTTGTTTCCGTAGTTCAGGATTACATGCCATAAGTTCTCTCATAGGGACAGTCACAGGTGCATTTAACACCGTTTTCATTAAACTGTCAGGTTCGTACCTTCTTGTTATCAAAGGTTGTTGAGCTAACTTTTGCCTAGCGGCTAATTCATCGTTTTGAGTCAATCCTGGATTCTGTCCTATCACAGCAGGTGACATCTTGTATGACATATCTATGTCTTCAGTTTCAGGCAAATTATGCATGCATGTAGGACATGCGTCCACAGGTACTATTGGGTTCAGTGGCGATAAACTTTCCTGCTGTACATTTTGCTCATGAATCCCTGGATTGTCACTTATTATGTTTTTGTTAGGGTTCATTCTAGTGCCATATGGATTTGTAGTGACAGCCTTAGTGGGTTTCACAGGCAGTCCTCGTATTTGCTGGTATACATTCTCGGGGGGTCTCTTTGGTACCGCTTGTTGATTCCTGACTTGGCTCACTGCCTCGTTCTCCTGTGCTGCTGCATACAACTGAGTACAGTTGTCCTCACTTTCTTCATCCAAGTAAGCTATATCTACATCTTCTTCAAAGTAGTCCACATACACTTCACTAATATCCTCACCTATCTCATCATCTAAGAAAGCTTTCATCATGTTGATGGAGATTAAATTGGATTGCATCATAGTTCATCATATTGCCTCCAGGAAGATTTCATTCCTGAACCTCCCAATGAGGGTTCCATCTCAATACATGAGTCTCCCCATTTCATTGTGTTGTACCTGGCCTAACCCCATTAATTCTTCAATTCTAGGGCACTGCCTTAGCATATGGTCAGATTTCCCACAACTAAAACAATACATAGCTCTGCCAAGCTCTCATATCGGGTTCACTGGAGTGGTTTCTGTCCAGGTCAGAACATACTGTACCACACTTTGTTTTAACAGTGATGCTATGATTTCTGCGACAGTCATGTCTCTCTTGATGGCCCGATAATAGATTCATGCATATTCCGAGTCACTTACTTTCATTCTTGCTAAGCAATCCACTAGTTCTTCTACTTCGTTGTCTGTGTTCTCATCTTTTTGATTGTCCACTGTCTCTATTTGCAAGGTCAGGTCCTTCTCATGTTTCTTCTTCCCTCATGCTCTTTTGTCTTGTTCTGCTGCATCAGAACTGGAGCTGCTTGAGTCCGAGTTTTCACTCTCACTTTCTGAGAGTTTCTTCTTTCTCTTGCTTTTCTGCTTCTACTTTCTCTCCTTCTTTCTATTCTTTCTTTCTCCTTAGAATCTTCACTTGATGTGGAAGTATTTTCCTCATCTGAATTGGTTTCCAAATTTGAAGAACTTGAAGAACTAGAGGACGTCTCTGTTCTCAGCATGACCTTTTCTCTTCGTTGTTTAGATTTCTTGGCTTTTAAGTTAGCATCAAAGCATTCTCATGTGAATATATTGTAAATGATTTTTACTACATCATTGTGTACAATTACCTGCCATGGATCATACTGAGGATGCATAGTGAGGTGATGGGCTTCCACTGCTTCACATAGTTTGTTGTTCAGCCCATACCAAAATTTTGTGTGTTGTTCATTCTTTGTAATTTTCTTCTTGCATAACAGCCAATTGGATACCATCAAGAAATCTACCTCATATTGTTTGAACTTTTTCAGGTTGTGTATTCTTTCTTGTCTCTATTTGTCTGTTAGTCGGTCCAAGTCACTGATTAAGTATCAAGACTTGCTTAAGTCAGCATCATAATAGGTCAGTATGTCCTCTTCCAGCTGATTCCAGTTACCATCCATGAAACTGTCTAGGGATTCAATAAATTGTGTGACCACAGAAGAGCAATAATCTATAATCCATTTGCATCTTTCCTTGCCAAGCACGTTATAGATGGCACACATCTGCTTGTACTGCCTAATAAATCTCTTGACCAAATTGTGCTTGCCTTTAAACTTGGCGGGAGCAGTTTGAGCTCCTAGTAAGGGCATCATGTCAGATGTGCGAGCTTGACTATTAGGCGCTCCCATCATTGCCATGTTTGCTGCAGGGACAGGGTTGGTGACACCTATAGGCAGTGCATTGGAACCAGATACAGATCCTGCCATACTGCTATTTGGTATATTTCCAAATAGCCCTGTACTTCATTGACTGGTATGTCTTTGGTTTCTGCCATACATATTAATGTTAGGTGGTATAGTGTTTTGAGCACTGGGTATTAGCACACATGTCTGGAAAGTTTCTTTGAAATCTTCTTCATCTGAGTCTGAGTTAATGACTGTCTTTCTGGCTTTATCTCTGGTTCACCAGTTTGAGTCTATGGGTGCTTCTTCTCGTGCTGCTTCTGAAGCTTCATGCATGCCTGATTGCATGCTCTCATGTCGTTCATTGATTGGAGTGTTTGTCATGGTAGTTATAAGTGTCTATGATATTAATGTCTGTTGGTAGTCCAAAAAGTTTATAAGTCTGTGGATATATGTGTTTGTAGAAAAAAATGTAAATAAGAGTCTGTTATGAACTTTGTGTCATACAAAATTGATGGTTGTAACTAGTGAGAATAGTTTAAACCTACTTGCAGTGGGCTCCAAATATGTCAGGGGTACTTTAGTTTAGTATAGTCCTAGTTAAGTAGTTCAGGGGTTCGAGCATGAATGCTATAGGTTTCCACTAGTTAAGTTTGGTTGGGGTAGGTCGAGTTACTTTGTGTAACCGTGGGTAGTTGTTTGATAAGCAGTCAGGGTCTTGAAGAGTGAAGTTGATGATGCATCACAAGCGTACCTAAATAAACTGTAGTTAATAAAATAGGTGTGTCATGAGTGAGCCTAGAATAGATGTGTTGATAATTCTTGCAATAGGGCTTGACGTAGTCAGCTTAAAAGTGTGTGTGTAGTGTGATGGGTAAAAAGTTGATGATCTCATTTCTTCTTTTCTACTCTATTTATACTTACTAGCTTTATTATTACCATATCAGATTCAGGCTGTGCAATCCTGTGCCTTGCCAGTGCATCTGACATTCTCTCTTTTTCTCTATTCTTCTCCCTTCTTCTATTACCTTCTCAATTCTTCTTATACTGTATGTCATCCTGACATCTGGCAGGCGACTAATTAGTGCCAGTCAAAATGGAAGGGAAATAGTTAGAATGCAGATAAAATTTTGACCCAGGCTTTTGACCACAGCACAATACGCCGGCTTTACCAAATTTGATCTGTTGTCCAGTTGTTTCCCTAAGATTTAGTCTGGTTTGAAACAAGTAGCTTATACAGAGAGCAAAGCCCATGAAGTGGGAATACTTTGGATCAACAATGGATGACACAATGATGATCAGCTCCCATGCTCTCTTGCCGGTATTGTCACCTCTTTGGAATGAATAATGATGGAGCATTGGAGGAACAAAGAAGATTCCCCTGCATTCAGCTGTAAGGATCTCCTAGACATTATCAGCTGTGAGCAGAATGTTCAATCTTTACTTGTCCAGGAAGCAAGATGCCTGCATGTAGCTCAGAGACAAACACTGGCGACAAATGTGTTCAAGTGTTGAGGTGAGCAGGCTCAAGCTAACTGTACTGACAGGTGGTCGAAAAACAGGAGACAGTGCTAAAGATATGGCACATAACAGACGATTTTCTGCAGAATGTCTTTGCTAATATAAGCGGCCCAGGGCAACAAGAATGAGATTATATAATATTTTTTATTATTCTGGCAGCAGCTCTGCGAGATTATCTGACTGATGGTAGTGGTGGAGCATGCATATTCCAGCATGGCCTGAGTGTAATATCCATTTATATGGTATGAACACCTGGACAGGGAGTTGCCTTGCATTCCTGACCATTCCTGTCTCAGGGTACTATCTACATTTTCTTAATGCCAGGACCACTTGATCACTGGCTCTCCGGTAGGCTTGTAGCCAACACCAGTTTTGAAGATACAGGAAATTCAGGACCACTAGTCACTGATGATCTGCTCTCAGGCTATGTTCATTGTACAGTTGAGCGTGTTCGCTTTCTGCCAGTATGAAATAAAGCATTAAGGCTGTCTTCTTTTTTCCTGATACTGCCAACTCCAGACTTTCTCTATCGCTGGACAGGGAGCAGGAAAATAGATTCTCTTTTTGAGAGTCCTCGAGCTGTATTGGATGTATACACTGCAAATAGGCATTCAGCTCCACCAACTGGGTGACATGGCAAAATGATACCATGTATTTCCATTAGAATCAGGTGTATTTTTCTCTAATTTTGCTCAGATCACGCGTTGGGAACTCAACTGTACCATGTATGTTTCATATTGTCTTCTTCATCAGAGTCCTATGCTAACCCTCAAAATTCAAAGATAAGCCATCTAATGTTCCACTGGGTGAAACCTGCTGTAGTGGGTTTTAATTACCTCATGTTTAAACCTTTTAGTGCTAACATCCTCAATAGCAGAGTACCTGGGTACAGCAAATCATGGAGATCAATGAATGGAGACATCGGCAGCATCACCAGCTTAATAGCCTATGAGTGATGGCTGAATATTCCTGGGTAGCTACCACTGGTAGTGAGGCAGACACCTATCAGTCCTATTCTAGAATTAATTGTTAGGCAGAAGATGTTGCTGTAGGCATTACTGTCAATTTGATGGTCTTACTAATTCTTTTTTCAGATGGCAAACTCCGGTGGGATGCTGGATGAATAGCATTTGAATAATTCTCAAGGTGAAATCCATAATGTCTTGCACTTGCTTGTTACACCGGTATTCATGACAAATAGCTCATAAATAGTTGTACTGATAATTTGGGGTGTTCCTTATAAAATAATAATGTTTGAGGCTTACAATTAACCATGCATGTAGGTAGATCACTAAAATCAATGAAATCTACATTCTGAGTAACATAGACACAATCTAGAGAGAGGCTCGTGATCACTGATTGAAAGGCTTCTCATTCATGGAGAGAACATGAAGAAAAGAAAAATATACAATCAACAGCTCATAGTGCACTCCAGCATAGGGAGGGGGACATAGTCACATATCTGACTTTATCCCATGGGAGTCTTTGGCTTTGGTGCAGCCTTTGCTGATTGTACAGCCATTTTGTAGTTCTTGCTGATTGTCTCTTCGCATGCTGCCTCTCCAACTATGCATGACCAGTATATCCCTTGCTAGCCCATCTGAAGACTTCTTGTCACCCATCTGCTCTATCCGACATGCCAGCAGTGACAACTGCCAGTGCAAACTCAGACCGTCATCTTAGAGCTTGCCAGTCATGGTAAGCATTTTGCTTGATTGTTGGTCTAAACTTTTTCCATTCTACCAGTTTTTATTCCAACAAGTCTCAGCTTCATGACTTGGACACACATTGAAGGAACAGGACTACTTGCCAATGCCAACAACCCAAGGCTACCAACAACGTCAATCAAGTTTTAGAGTGTCATGCATGCTTGAGCCTAAATGTGAGTACACCAGAGGTACATCCTCTCTATTTGTTCACCACTTGTACTGGAACAGGGTGAGTTTACACACTCTGAGGTTCTCCTCATTATGTCTAGCAAAAGGCTGTGGTGCCAATGCATTACATTCAAATGGCTGACAGAACGAGCATCACTTGTGGGTCTGAGGGCATCGCACTTCAGCTAGAACGTGTGGACTCAGGAAGGTGCAGATACTTATGTCTGCTTTGCCA